CAAAAAGACACAGCAGCTCTTTTGTGCCACCAGCGTAGGACAAAGCAGTGGCAGGGAAGAGGGGAAGTGAGCAATCATTTTTTTGCACTCGTCCACGTGTGTGGTGATATTCTGTGTATGATCTAACAAATAAAGCTTGCCTGAAAGAACAGAGAGAGAAAGGAACAAGCCACAGCCGCCTCTCACCTCGCCAACCCCTCGGTGGACATGCTTGTTCACATGTGTGGGCACGTATGTGTTTAGGTGCACATGGAAGTCAGAGGTGGATGTCAGGTGTCTCATTCAATAGCTCTCTGCTTTATTTATGGAGGCAGGGTCTCTGGCTGGACCTGGAGCTCACCAGCTTGTCCTTGGGATCCCCTGTTTCTGTATCGTGAGCACTGGGATTGCAAACGGAACTGCTTGGCTTTCGTGTGGGTGCTCGGGATTCAAACTCTGGTTCTCAGACTAGGGCAGGAGGCGTTCTATTTAGGAAGCCATCTCCCTAGCATCATAAACGACTTTTAAAAAGATTTCATTGTGTGAATGTTTTGCCTACATGTATGAATGTATGTCATGTATGTGAGTGCCTGTGGAGTCTGGAGGAAGGTGTTAGATCACCTCATGTTGGCTGTGAACTGCCAAGTGGTGCTGGGAATGGAACCCAGGTCCTCTGGAAAAGCAGCATGTGCTCTTAACCACTGAGCCATCTCTCCAACCTCACTATAAATAATTTTAAAAAGGTACTTAGCTTGCTTGCTTTTGGGGGGACAAGGTCTCATGAGGATCATGTTGGTGTGGAACCCACTATAAAGCTGAGCCTCCGTGCCTGACTAGGATGAACTATTTTTTGAGGCAGTCTTGCTGTATTGCCCTTAAACTACCTAAGACAAGGCTGGCCTTGACATTGCAGCAATTCTCCTGCCTCTACCTCCCAAGTGCTGGGATTACAATGATCTGGTACCATGCCCAGCTGCAGAATAATTCTTTTTTGTTTGTTGGTTTTTGTTTTTTTCTTGAGACAAGATCCCACAATGTAGACCGGGCTGGCCTCGAACTCTGCCTACTGAGTTCTGGGATTAAATAAATCCACAACTATGCTCAGCCGAAAATAAGTCTTGAAGTCATTCATCTGACGGAGTTTGGGTGTGTGGTCACAGGCTTCTCTCATTTGCACACCAGCTCCGTTGGCAGCATCAAGTGACCGGTAGGTAGTGGTGAGCCCGTCAGCTGCAGCACCACACCCCCACTCTCTCTATCTGGTTTAGCACGGTTTAGACCAGTGGCCCCAGGAGTCTGACCATTCGGCCCTTAGATTGGTTACCTACTGACTCCAGGCAGCTTAACACCTCTGGGCTGTAAAACGGGGCCAATGACTCTGTCTTTAGTGGGTTATTGTGAAGATTTAGCCAGATACCCACCTGAACAGCTAGCTCAGTGCTGGTCAGGTGGTGTGCCCACTGCAAAGTGGCTGTTACTATTGCTTGAGACTTAAGCTCCCCCCCCACCTGTAATCCTAACACTCCGGACCAGAGGCAGGAGGACTCCCCCAAGTCTCAGGCCAGGCTGTGTACTTCATTGAGAGTCTCTTTCGTGTTTGTTTTTTTTTAATTAAAATTTCTGAAAGGGCTGCAGTGTGTGGCATCCTAGATTCAGTCCCCAGTACCACACACATAATCAAAGGTCTCAATAGCCTGTAGCACCTGATGAAAAGATAGCAGCTCCTGGGTGATCCACAGAAGGTTCCTCACTTAGCTAAGAGGCAAGTGAATGCATAAGCGTGTGTGCAACGGGGAGGCCTTGGCTGCTTGTGCATCTCCTAAGAAGAGAAAGAAAAGGAAAGGTGACTAACTGTCTTGAGGGACTCACACCCACATCTAAGATATCCTTCCTAAGGCCCCCAACACTTCTTCATAAGGGGGTGGTGTTGGCTGGAGTGTGGCTCAGCGGCTAAGAGTATTTGCTGCTCTTCCAGGGACCTGGGTTAGATTCCCAGCACCCAGATGGTGGCTCACAACCACCCTTCTCCAGACGCCAAGTTCCAAGGAACCTGACTTCCACACGGTGCACATACACACGTGCAGGCAAAATACTCATAGATAAAAATAAATCTGGCTGCTCTTACAGGGGACCCAGGTTTGATTCCCAGCACCCACATGGCAACTAACAGCTGTCTGTAACTCCAGTTCCAGGGGGTCACACACTTTTATTTATTTATTTATTTTTTGGTTTCCTCAGGTCCTGCATGCACCTGGTGCGCAGACATACATGCAGACAAAACACCCATACACACGAAAATCAAAAGAAATAAATCTTGAGAAAAAAAAAAAAAGTGGGCAGGAGGAGCCAAGTGTGTATGATGGTATATGTGTAGTGAGTTCAAGGCCATCCTGACTACATTAGACCTGGAAAGAAAAAGAAAATGGGCTAGAGAGGGGCCTTATTGATTAAGAGTAATTGCTGCTTCTACAGAGGACCTGAGTTCAGTCCTCAGTATCCATTTTGAGTGGTTCATATAGCCAGTGCCTGAAGAGACCAGGATAGGCTGTTAGATGCCCTGGAAGTGGAGTTACAGACGGTTGTACCCATCACGCGGGTGTTGGGAATCAAACCAAGGTCCTCAGGAAGACCAGCCACTGCCTCTAATAGCTGAACCGTCTCTCCAGCCCCCGTAAATATTTTTAAAACATAAATCTTAGGGCTGAAGAGATGGCTCAGCAGTTAAGAGCACTGGTTGTTCTTGCAGAGGACCTGGATTTGATTCCCAGGACCCACATGGCAGCCCACAACAATCTATAATTCTAGTTCCATGGAAGTCAGACATCCTCTTCTGATCTTCTTGGGCACCAGGCACACCCATGGTGCCCATAATCACATGCAGGAAAAATACTCATTCACATAAAGTAAGTAAATCTAAAAAAAAAAAAAAAAAAAGATTCATATGTTTAAGAAAAGGAAGTCTTTAATAAAAAGAAAAAGGGATAAAAAATGGTCTTCATTAATACTAATTGATATTATTTATTTAGCATTTAGTATGGGCCAGGCATTGTTTAGGCTTTTGTTTAGAATGTACTACATAACCTGAGCTAATATGAGATCTCTGAGGTGAGCACTGTTCTTACCACTTTACAAAAGAGGAAGCATTTGGTCAGAAAGGTGGAAGCCTCGGTGTTAGTGAATCAGCTGGGAAGTGGCAGGTGGGATCTGAGGTGAGGGATGCAGTATACCTTGTTTTTGAGATAGAGTCCTCCCGTCTCCCATGCCCCCAGAAATGAAGTTATAAGTGCTCCCCCATACACACAGTTTTTACAGGAGAACGAGCCAGCAGGCTCTGGGAATTTTCCTCTACCATGTCATGTGCTCTGTCCTCCTCCATGTGCTAGGGTTATGTTCTTGCGTGCTCACACCCTACTTCTTGTTTTTAAGAGGTGCGGTCTCAGGCAGAAGCAGGAAGGTATCTGTAAGTCCGAGCAGCTTAGTTGGTCTATATATTGAATTCCATGCCAGCCAGGGGTATGTAAAACAAAACAGAACGGTGGGTGGTGTGAAGGGGAGGTGCTCACCAATAGATCAGCGACAGACTGAAAGTCTGAAGCTCTCCGTGTGTGTGTGTGTGTGTGTGTGTGTGTGTGTGTGTGTGTGTGTGTGTGTGTGTGATCCTGCTCTATCACTCTCTGCTGCCTTCCCTTGAGACAAAGGCTCTCACCAAAGCTGGAGTCAGAATGGCAGCCAGTAAAACCAATGATCCTCTCTCTCCGCTCTCTACCAGAGCTGGAGGTATTGGGGTGTGCAGCCTTAACTGGCTTTTTACATGGGTGCTTGGGATCCAAACTCAGAAGCTTATAAATGCACTCTTACCCACTGAGCTCTCTCCCCAGCCCACACACTCCCAGCCTCCGCCTTGAGACGGTCTCATGTAGTCCAGGCCAAAGATGGCCTTGGACTTCCGAGTCTCTTGCCTCTGCCTCTGGAACGTTGGGATTACAGGCGAGTGTCACATCTAATGCTTTTGTCTTGTTTTTGAGACAGATCTCACTACACAGCCCAGGCTGGCTTGGGACTGGAGACTCCCCGATTATGCACGCCACCACACCTGACTTGGTTGGGTTTTATCACTTCCTCCACACTAGTTCCACCCCTCGACTTCTGCGGCTTTCCCTAGCCCCACCCAGCCTCTCCACCTTCTGCCAGGTCCCTTCGCTAGTGGGCTGTGTCCCTGTCTCTGCCAGAACGGCCCGGCTCCATTCCAACATCTGTCCTTTTGATTACAATTCTGACCCTTGTAATCTACCCACTCCACGAGTGTCTAGGGCATTTTATGTCTCCGTGTGTAACTCTACCCTTCTCTGATGGTATCACGCGTTTCTTTTCCTCAGCTAGAGAGAAGTCTCCCTGAAAACAGGCACAATTCATTCAAAAAATATCTGCCGTGTGTCTACCAGCTGCCAGGCCCTTGGCTGAGTTACAGGTGGCACAGGACAGCATGGCCCTTGCTTGCCCTCGGCTCAACTCTTCCCCGACACTTTCCTAGCGATTTATCTTTCATACTTCCGGCAGAGACCTGTGCATATAGTTAGGGTCCTTTTGCCTCTGGTTGAGGGGGGCCAAAGTGGGCTGGGGTTTGGTGGCTGTGTTCCCTGGAACACATGTGTTCTTTTAGGCCAGTAGCCCATCTTGGCCCCCAATAGGCAGTGCCATGGCTTCGCTGTGGAGGGGAAAAGCTCCAGATTGTAGCCGGAGGCACAGCCAGCTCTCCATAGAATGTGACTCTGCGTTTCCCCTTGGATGGGAATAAGATAACAACAGTGGTAGCATCCAGAACAGAAGAACAGAGCTGGAGATGTAGTTCAGCAGGTAGAGAGGGCTTCCCTGAGCATGAATGAAGCCCTGGGCTTTGGTCACCAGCACCACATAAGCTGGGCATGGTAGGGCACACTTGCACTAGCTGGGCATGGTAGGGCACACTTGCACTACTAGTACTGAGGAATGAGGCTAACAGGGTTAGAAGTACTAGGTCATTTTGGGCTGGATAGTGTGTTGGAGGCCAACCTGGGTGATGCGAGACCTTGTCAAAAAGAAAAAAGATAAGAGAAAGGATACAGAAAGGGGAAAGATGCTGGGCAATGGCTCAGTAGTTAACAGCACTTATCACTGAAGCATGAGCATTGGTGGGGCTTTCGGCTACCAGCCTCGTCCAGGTTCAGCGAGAGACCTGCTCTCAAGGGAGTAAGATAGGCGGTGAGAGAGCAGGGCACTGGCATCCTCCTCTGGCCTCTGGGTGTATTACAGGCAGGTGTACCAGCAAAACCACACCCAGCACACTCATGCTGCAGGGTGGGGGCGGGCAGTTGGGGACAGGACAGACAGACAGACAGGAGCCATAAGGTGGCTCAGCAGGTGAAGCGCTTTCTCCACACAAGCCTGCTGCCCTGAGTTCAACCCCAGGACCCATGGGAAAGTGGACAAGAAGTCCTCTGACTTCCCCATCTGGGTCCCCCTATAATAATAAAAACGAAAATACCCCCAGCATCCTCCCACCAACTTCCAGCGGTGATTCTTTAAATCTTTGTCCATTCCCAAGTTTTTGGAGTGTTGGGATCTGGGGAAGTTCAAACAATGGAGCCTTGTCCACCAATCCAGTAGTCATGGTGGGGATGACAACTGACTCAGGAATGGAGGAAGCTGCCCTGTGTCCCAGCCTCTGCACCCTCTGCCTCCTTGGTTTGCCTGCCCCACTTTCAAAACAAGCTGTTTTTCTAGCTCTTAGATAAATATTGACCTATCTGGGTTTCAGATGCCTGTCCCTCGAAACTCCTGCTGGGCTAGATAAGCACATCAGGAGAACCTCTCTTGAAGACTAAGAGTTCCTTTTGGATAGGCAATCCAGCAACTGACCCCTTTCCTGGGTCCTTGCAGTGACCAGCATTGTGTTGGCCTCCCAGGCTTCTGGATGCTGGAGGATGTACTAGGGTGCTGCCCCCTGCCCTCCCTTTGGGAGCTTGTGATCTAGCTGTGGAGAGAGGACTCATGCCCTGGGAATGCTCTGAGGCTGTGTGCAGGGGAGCTGTGATGATCCTGTGTGAGGGTTCTTGCCTGTGGAGGAGGTAATCCTCTGTGACTACCAGGTCTCTTCCAACACACATTCTCTGGTTTTAAGTGGAATTCTGTCAAATGCCAAAATGTCTGCTGGGAACAATGGGAGATATGGGCTGGCCGGAAGCGGGGTAGGGGTGGGGGGTGGGTTTGACATTCTGTGAAAAGGAGATAGAATGGGGATGGCCTGGGAAGGATGAGGCTGAGGGGAGGGAGTTGCTGTGGTTTGCTAATCCTCTGGTGTTCATCTTCCTGAATAGACCTGCTTGTGGTCTCGGCACAAGGCATGTCGGGATGGCAGGGCTTTTGCCCCCACTTCCCACCCCTTCCCCTTTCACATCCCCCAGATTGACACTTGTGCCTTTCTCATCCCAATCCTCCAAAACAAACTGGGTTTCCTGGTTAGGTGAAGCTGGGCCGCCCAGGTTCAGAAGCCAAAGATTGTCACTTGGATACCATTGAAAACTGTGGATCCCAGGGAGGCCCTGGCTGCCTAGAAGGCTGGAGGCCAAAAGGCCAGAGGGTCTCAGGTTCCCAGGAGGAGAGCACATTAGAAGGTGGCCACTGAAAGGTGGAGAGCAGGTTAGCTCAGAGGCAGAACTGGCCTGACTGGCCAGGGGTCCAAAGAGGGAGAGGTGAGCTGCTTGGTTTGAGCGGGGTTCTAGGCAGAGATGCTGATGTGACCTGGTCTCAAAAGACCTTTCTAGTCTTGCGGGGTGAATTTTTTTTTTCTTGCCTGGCTCCCTGCTCTTTGCCATTTCTTGGGGTCAGTGGGAAGCCGTAGGACAGATGGACACTGGGTAGATGCCATCTTGGAGCAGGTGAGCAAAGTGTCTGCTTTGTGGGAAGCTGGAGGCCTGGGAAGCGCCCAGTTTGGGGTAACATAGAAGAAGCTGAGGTGCTGAAACCTGGAGCGGATGGGGAAAGAGCCCGGAGGTCAATTGCTCAGAAGGCAGCCCTTTAACCTGGATAGCTCAAGCCTTTACACACAAAGGATGCTATTACTCATCTGCCATGCCCAGACATTGTAGGGGAGCGGGGAGTTTAGGTCTTTTGTGCGGGAGGAAGGCTGGGTGGGGAACTCTTGTATCCTTGACCTTGGGCTTGGTGCTCAGGCAGGGAAAGAATTGGAGCGATGCCAGCGGCAGGCGGACGAAGTGACGGAAATCATGCTCAACAATTTTAACAAGGTCCTGGAGCGTGACCACAAGCTGGCAGAGCTGGAGCAGCGCTCAGACCAGCTCCTGGACATGGTGGGTGGCCGCTGGGAATGGGGGAGGGACAGGAGAAGTCTGACCCTTAGAGGGAGCTCTTAGGCTTGGCTGGGGAGGCTGTAGGTGGGGTCTGGGGCTTGCTTGCTTCCTAGTGTGGGACTTCTGGTTTCCGACTAGTGGGTTTCACCAAGATGGCCTTGGGTTGGGGCTGTAGCTCAGATAGAGTGCTTACCTAGCATGCATGGCCCAGGGCCCACTCCCCACCATGGCATGAAACACAGCGGTGGTACACCTGTGATCCCAGCACGCAGGGACTCCAGAGATCAGAAACTCATTCTCCATCACACGGTAAGTCCAAACCGGAGCTACATGAGACCCTGTCTTACAAAAACAAACAAACAAACAAAATAAATAAATACACCTAAGAAGTCTTTGGAGCTGTGCACATTCTTAGAGGTCAAGGGCTAAGTGGGTGTGAACTAGCAGGATCAGGAGTCAGGTGTTACAGCAGTGTTGGAGGTCGGGAGCCAGGCTGGAAGGGTCCCAGGGGACAAGGGTAGGGAGGATGCTGGTATAGAGATGGAGAGCTGGCTTTGAGGCCCTGTGGGAACCATTAACTCTCTTTCTCTCGGTGTCTCTGGGTACCTACAGAGTTCGGCCTTCAGCAAGACAACCAAGACTCTAGCCCAGAAGAAGCGCTGGGAGAACGTCCGGTGCCGGATCTACTTGGGGCTGGCGGTGGCTGGCGGCCTGCTCGTCATCCTGATTGTGCTGCTGGTCATCTTTCTTCCAAGGAGTGGTGGGAACAGTAGTAATCCCTAGGCCTAGGATACAGGCATTGCCTTAGGGACTGGGGACTGACCCAGCCAGGCCCGGAGGAGAGGCTGGACGACTGTACTGGCCTGTTCTGGTCTCCAGAGAGTCCTGGTGTTTGCTTCTGTCTCGGCCACCCCGGAGAGTACTGAAGGGCATCCTGGACATGTGCACCTCGCATCTCCCATCATGCCATGGACTGGCCCTTGAGGGCAGCCTGCTGCTGCACTGGCCCTGCTAGGCGACACACTGGAGCTCAGTAAAAGCAGCTGTTTGGTTAAAAGTGTGCTCTCTCTCTCTCTCTCTCTCTCTCTCTCTCTCTCTCTCTCTCTCTCTCTCGCACATACACACACCACAGACACAGATGTGTACACACACGCTTCAGACACAGAAACAACACACACACATCTCACAGACAGAGAAACATAGTACATACTGTATACACACACACACACATATATGTACACTAAATTAATTTAATTTTAAAAAGAAAAGAAAACCTTTCTTTCACCCAAAGGACTATATTCCAATATGACTGCTTCCTTTGCTTTTTCTCCTTGGTTTTGCCCTACACAGACAGACCTGTAGTATCTGGGCAGACACAGCAACCCACAAAACAGACGTTTGCACCTTTTCCCATGAAAGTGAAACCCATCACGTCTGACATCTTGAGGGTTCTTAGAGGACCCAGATGGAAGAATTAAGAAGAGAGGACTTGCTGGGAGTCCAGCTCAGTTTTCAGAGTGCTTGCCTAGTGTGAACGAAGTTCTGGGGTTGATGGTGGCACACACCTCTAGAGACCCAGCACTCAGGAGGTAGAGGCAGGAGGATTACAAGGTCAAGATCATCCTTGGCTATAGTTAGTTTGAAGTTAGTCTGGGCTATATGAGGCCCTGTCTCAAAAGCAAAAAGTTGGCTGGAGAGATGGCTCAGTGGTTAGGAAGGCGTACTGCTCTTGCAGAGGACCCAAATTTGCAAGTTCAGTTCCCATCTCTCAAGTCAGGTACTTCATAACCACCTCTAAGTCCAGCTTCAGGGAGATCAACCTCTGTGGGCAGCTGCACTTAAGTGTACACACACTCACAATTTACACAACATTTAAGAAAAACAAGAAACATGCCGAGAGATAACCTCATAAAGTGTTTGCCTTGAAAGCACAAGGACCTGAGTTACATCTGCAAAACCCATTTTAAAAAGCCAAGTGTGTAGTCCAATGTGGTAGCCTTAACCTTGATCTAAGCCCTGGGCAAGTAGGGACAGGCAGGTCTCTGTGAGATTGAGGCTAGCCTGGTCTACATAGTGAGATCCTCTCTCAAAAAACATGAACAAACAAAAACCACTATGGTGACCTTCTTGTACATCCAGAACTGGGAAGGTAGAGACAGACAAATCCCTGGGGAATCAGTAGCCACCACCCTAGCCTAATTGGTGAGCTCCAGGCCAATAGGATGTGCTGTCTCAAAAAACAATGTAAGCTGGTGAATAAAGAATATGGAGACATGGCTCAGCAGTTAAGAGCACTGGCTGTTCTTCTAGAGGTCCTGGGGTTCAGTTCCCAGCACCCACATGGCAGCTCACAACTGCCTTGTAATTCCAAGATCTGACACCCTCACACAGACATACAAGCAGGTAAAGCACCAATGCACATAAAAATAAGTTATTTAAAAAAAAAAAAAAAAAAAAAGGCTGGGCGGCGGTGGCATACACCTTTAATTCCAGAGCCAGGCCGGATTTCTGTGAGTTCGAGGCCAGCCTGGTCTACAGAGCAAGATCCAGGACAGGCACCAAAACTACACAGAGAAACCCTGTCTCGAAAAACAAAAACAAAAACAAACAAACAAAAAACCCCAAAACTGTGATGTTTGGGGCTGGGCTGGTATGCTGGTATGTGCCTTGAATCCCAGCATTTGGGAGGCAGAAGCTGGTAGATCTCTATGAGTTTAAGGCTAGCCTTGTCTACAGATAAAGTTTCAGAAGAGCCAGGACTGTTACACAGAGAAACTCCGTCTCAAAAAACCAAAAAATGATCAAAATAATGCTCATCTCTTCTTAATCGCTGCTAATTTCTCAGCTCCAGATAACCAGCATAGATTGTCCTACTAGAGAGCTCAGGCTTCACTTCAGTGGTTCTGGTCTGTTGTTAATCACCACTGATTCTTCAGCCCCAGCTGCCCAGAGCCATAGATTCTTTTTGTTGTTGTTGCTTTTGAGACAGGGTTTCTCTGGGTAGCCCTGGCTGTCCTGGAACCCACTCTGTAGACCAGGTTGGCTTTGAACTCACAGAGATCTGCCTGCCTCTGCCTCCTGAGTGTTGGTATTAAAGGCGTGTGCCGCCGCCGCCGCCGCCGCCACCACCACCGGGCTAAGCCACAGATTTTTAATTCAAATATATCTCACAAACAGCCCCGACAGAGTCTTTAAGGGATTCGCAAACTTCCCTCTGAACTTTCATTAAGGCCTCCACCATCTGCATGGCTGTCAGCATTATCTTCCAAGTCCCCACAAGTTCATTAAGTTCTAAGACTTTAACATAACTTTCCCAACCCAATGTCCCAACATCCTTTCCAATCTTCCCAAACATAGTATGTTCAGATCTGCCACAGAAATACCCAAGTCCTAGTGCCAACTTCTTTGCTTTGTTTTATTTATTTATTTTTATTTTATATATTATATAAATTGTATATATTTCGAGACAAGGTTTCTCTGTGTAGCTCTGGTGGTCTGGGAATTCACTCTGTAGACCAGGCTGGCCTCAAACCCGCAGAGATCCACCTGCCTCTGCCTCCTCCAGAGTGCTGGGAGTAAAGGCCTGTGTCTCCACTGTCCGGCATTGTTTCCTTTCTATTGTAGTAAAACACCATGACCAAAAGGAACTTGTTGAGAAGGGGTTTGTTTCAACTTAAAATTGTAGTCTATTTTGAAAGGAAAGTTAGGACAGGAAACCAGGGCAGGAACTGAGGCAAGATCTGAAGCAGAGGCCATGGAGAAATACTGCTGACTGGCTTCCTCAGCTTTCTTTCTTTCTTTCTTTTTTTTTTTAAATTTTTTTTGTTTTTATTGGTTTTTCAAGACAGGGCTTCTCTGTGTATCCCTGGCTGTCCTGAAACTCATTCTGTAGACCAGGCTGACCTTGAACTCACAGAGATCTGCCTGCCTCTGCCACCCGAATGCTGGGACTAAAGGCGTGTGCCTCCACCGCCCCGCTCATCAGCCTGCTTCCTTATACAATCTTGGGGTGTCACTGCCTACAGTGGGCTGGGCCCTTCCATATCAATCATTAATCAAGAAAATGACTTTGTCTACAGGCTCATGTGATGGAGGAATTTTCTCAGTTGAGGGTCCTTCTTCCCAGATGACCCTAGTTTTTGTCAAGTGTGGGCTATAGAGGCTTATTACTTTTTGTTAGAGGCAGTGTCTCCCCAAGAGCCCAAGCTGGCCCCTTAAATTCTCAGATTACCACCATGCTCACTCTAAGAATTTGTTACCTTCCCTGGGTTTATTGTCACCTTCCTCTTCTGAGAATGATATAGCACTTTGCCCTGCTAAGTAGGTCAACAACACTGACTTTGGGCAAGCCGCTTCTGGGACTCAGGTTTCATACATATAAAAGGGGTAGAAGTAATGCGGGTGCAGTTCAGTGGTAGAGAAAGTGCTTAGCGTGGACTCCAGGCTCTGAAGTTAAGCCCCCATGAGAAAAAAGAAAAGCAGAAGGTACCTCACTACAGTATCAGACAACTACAGTGATGAAATATGGGCTTTTCCTTTGCTGTATGTGTCTCCTTTTATTCTGTTTAAGACAGGATCTTACTATGTGTTCATACTGGTCTTGAACTTGCAATCTTCTGGCTGTCACCTTTTTTTAAAGGATTTATTTTTATAACTGTGTATGTGTTTCTGCCAGTTGAACGTAGGTATGGAGGAGGAGGGGGAAAGGGGCTACCTGGAGCTCGAGTTATAGGAGGTTGTAAACTGCCCGACTTGAGCTCCTAACCATGCATGGTTTTGCCTTTCTTCCTCTCTCTTTCCTTATTTGTTTATATATTTTTTTATTTTTATTGATTGACAGATTGAAATAGGGTCACACTTCGTAGCCTTGGTTGGCCTCCCACTCAAAGAAATCCGCCTGCCTCTGCCTCCTGACTTACGGGATTAAAGCCATGCAGCACCAGGTCCTTTTCTTCTTCTTTTTTTTTTTTAATGTGTATGAGTGTTTTGCTGCATGTCCGTCTGTCCGTCGTTTGTATGCCTGGTGCCCGCAGAGAGCGTCGGAACGTCTGGAAATTGTGTTAACCGACGGTTGAGCGCCGCCCTGTGGGTGCTGGGGCTAGAACTTGGGCCAGCTTAGCTATCTCTTTAGCTCCTCCGCCCCTCCTTTTTTTGCCTAAAACCGAATGAATGCGTGGGAATTTTCCTCCCCCGAGGAGTAGGTGGGGCGTGAGGGTAAATTCAACCAATGAGACGCAATACAAAGACTTCCGGCTCGCATTTTCACTTCGGGAGCGCGGCGAGGGCCGACTGAGCGTGGTGCCGGACAAGTCCCCGGAATTTCCTTGTTCTGCGACTCTATTGGCCTTAGCCTTTGGTCACCTGACTCACCCGACCAATGAGAGGCGGCTGAATCAGTACTTCCGCCTTTGTCAGCGGTCGGCAAGCCACTACGGCCACCTCACGGATACTCTGATTGGCTGTCATCTCGAAGCTCGCTCGCTTATTGGCCAGGGCGGGATCCGGCTCTCCAGCGGCAAGCTAGAGCTGGGCCAGAGAAGCCCAGCCGCCCGGCAGCCATGGCGTCCTACTTTGATGAGCACGACTGCGAGCCGTTGAACCCTGAGCGCGAGGCCCGCAACAATATGTTGCTGGAGCTCGCGAGGAGAGTGCGCGGGGCTTGGAGCTGGGCCCCGGGCAGCAGGTGTCTGGGCTGGGGCTTGGCGGAGAGGGCCGGTAACCTGGGAGATGGGATGGATAATAGGGAATGTTAAGTCTGGGCGACGCGATCGGTCGGAGTCGTTAATTTTGGGCCATTAGTGAGCAGGGCCCGCCAGGGGATCGTGGGGAGGACTGAGCTGGAGAAGGTGGGAGTCGCAGAGGGAGGCAGCGGAAAAGATTGTCATGGGGGCGGACACGGCCTGTGCCCATGTGCGTAGTCAATTGGATAGTATTTTGCTAGCAATAAGCTAGCACGAAAGCTCACTGCCGCCCTGGAATCAACTTGGCTTTCCCGGATCATTCCTGAGCGACTTCCTTGAGACTGCTACTTCGTGTAAAATGCTAGGGTTGTCTGAT